GGAGAGTGCGTCGAGCGGGATAGAGGAAAGGGAGGAGTGGTAGGAGAGTGTGTGGAGGGGGGGAGAGTTAGATGAGAGGGGAGAGGTCGGAAGCGGTGAGTCAAAGGAGGATCTTGAAGACTATGAGTGCGGCTCTGAAGTTTACGTGGGATCGGATTGGGAGGCGGTGGAGAGATCCGGGTAGTGGGGTGACGTCTCGTTTACGGGCGGGGAGTCTGGCAGGAGCATTTAAAATCGTTTGGAATTTGGAGACGAAGGGCTGTGTGGAGGCCGTAATAGAGTAGAGAGTTGCAATAGTTGAGTCGGGATGTGATTAAGGCATGGATGAAGGTCTCGGTATCATCTGAGGTAAGGAAATGACGGATACGACAAACGGAGGTAGGATAATCCTGCAGAGTGAAGATATTTCGGAGGAGAGCGAGAACTCGGGATCACTTCCGGGTCTAATTTGTATCCACTGCAGAGTCGCTGCAGCGGGGCGCACCGTCTCCGTGTCGGGGCACGCAGCACAGCGCCAGCGCGCAGCAGTCGTACAGCTTCACGGGCGGCGGGGCGCCCCCCGAGACATCCTCCTCCTCATCCTTCATCGCCGCTGTCGCCGCTGCCGCCGCAAGGTGCACGGAGAAAACCCCGCGAGGAGAGCTGTAGAGTAGCTGGGCGTCGTGGCAGCAGGCTGCAAGGACGGGGCCCTTCACAACGTGGCACAGGAGCACCCGGGTCGCTCGGGGGTTACCGACTCCCCTCCGCTGCTACCCTCCCACCAACCCCTCCTTGTCTCGTTCCGCGATTTTACCCGGATTGGGCTATCGTCGTCGCGTCGTCGAGAGAGGAAGAATCCGTTGGGAACTCGCACAGAGCAGTGGAGCCCTTCGTGTTAGAGAACGGCTCACACAAGTGGGTATTACAGAGCTACTTCTTAGATCTCTGCAAGTGACACAGTAGGAAGCAGCATTCTCCCATCCGCCCTGGTAAATAGAGCAATAGAGTAATGTTCTAGATTTCAAGTTTTCGTGACTGCAGGGATCCATACTCTTTGGTTCTTTCGGTAAAGTCACGTAGGTATAAAATAAAATATCTTATATCTACGTGACTTTACCGAAAGAACCAAAAAGTATGAATCCTTGCAGTCACGAAAACTTCAAATCTATAATTAAATTATAATTATAAAGCCACACAGTCGTTGGTCACATGACAGACACTTTAAAGTGCTGAAATGCGATTGCACCTCACCTGGTTTTGAATTTAAATAAAACAACGAGGTATCATGCGCTCTGTGATCACACGAGGCCCACCACTTCAAAACAGCCTGCCCGTCAATGCAAGCATCCTATCCACACCAAGCAACAGGCGCTGTGCTTCTAGTTTATTGCGCTCGATCACCGCGGCCGTTCAAGTAGTTCTGAGCAGATGGTAAACGCGAACGGTCTTCGCGTCATCAAAGGTCATCGTTAAGCAATATGTGAGTGCCGCCAAAGATTTCCAAGAGTCTGACTTGACCCTCGGTGAGAAAACATTTTTTGCCAGCCTGGTCTAGGACGGGGCAGGTGTGCGTGTGTGAGCGCGCCCGTTGGCTCTACCGGCACGTGCAGCTCTCGCACGAAGGGGGCGCCGGCGCCACTTGGCTCGTCGTCCCGTGTCACCGTCACCACCTCCCCCTCCGCCCCCACCACCACCAGGCAGTTGTGCCCCTTCCGGCTGGCGGCGCCGTCCGCTCGGGGCACCAGTGCCGAGGCCACCAGCACCACCGGCTGCTGCAGGTCGTGCAGGAGGATGGGGCGGTTCCTGAGCGGGCGTGGCTCTGAGATGGAGGAGGAAGTGGCGTTGCCTGGGCCCGGCGTGGGAATGGCGTAGAGCCGCCCGTCTGGCAGGCCGCACAGCAGCGCAGAGAGCGCCAGCATGGCGGCGTCCACTCCCAGCAGCAGCTGGAAAAGTGCTGGCTGCAGCTGCGGCGGGAGACGGTGGCGATAGTGAGACCGGCCGTGACGTCGCATGACAGAGTCTCGCCTCTACTGCGAGCAACCAGTGGAGCAACCGATCGCATATGGATGCAGGTACGTCCACAATGAAGTTATTAAGTTGCATGCAACCACAGTGGATGACAATAACAACTGAGTGTTGGCCAAAGGGGGGTACGTCGGCCAACATGGAGATGCAGCGATAAAATTGAATTGCGTGCACGTGCGGTTTGGTTTGTGAGATGGCCGACAGCTTGGGGTGACCTTCATCCAGCAGTGAATCAATCGTGGCTAACGATCGTGATGATGAAACGTGACGACGCGGCTTGAGAGATGAAACCCTCCACCTGTATTGAGCTGGGGGTCGCTGGTGCCGCGGAGACCGACCGGCTTGTGGTCCCAACGCTCACGAGGACGGGCAGGGGGCACGGGGTGGCCGCCGCAAATCCAGCTTGCGGCCAAGTGGTACCCTCCACCTATCATCACAACAACAACAACCACCATTGGTCACGAAGTGACGGTGGCTTCACCACGGCGCTTGTGCCAGGCTATGTGCACTTTTAAGGCCACGTAAAGTGTCGAACGCCCCCTGGCAGGAGTTCACGGGATAGACCAATGTGTCATGGGTTGACCGAGATGACTGGCCGATGCACCACCTGTGCCCCCTACTGTGCCAACCTGTCATCACACCACCCGCACCTCACACCCACGCACGCCGTTACATAACTTCACACGGCCCAAGGTCACGCAGGGGATGCGATAACAGTATAATGAATAGCAGAATTGTTCATATCCTTTTGAAAAAAAAATTATACGAAAAAAATTTCACAGATTTCTTCGTGCGCCTCTCTGCAGTTGTGGGTTCTGGACAATCATCCCTGCCCTGGACGTCACTCACGGTGCTGCAGGAAGACAGCGTGACCCGCCCCAGCTGCTCGCTCCGGCACGAGCTCTCGGCGCCTGCATCGGGCAGCCGCCACCAGCTCACGTCCCAGGGTGCCGAGCCGCCCAGCGTGGCGAGGAGAGACGCGCCGGCGCCGGGCAGCGGCAGCAGACTCACGGCCCCCGGGGCCGCAAGTATCGCGTCCGTCTCGGTCACGTCACGGTCCCACCAGCCGTCGCCACTACAACGGCAGCAACGTTAATGGCTTCAACAATGACAATTATATTCTTAGGTTTTTTCGGTAAAGTCACGTAGGTAAAAATTTTCATTAATAAAAGTAAAATAAAAATCAGCAATCGTGCTGTGACGGTTCCACCTGAAGACGGAAGCTTGTGTTGCCTCCAAAACGTCGTGATTTTTCTTTTTCTTTTATTAATTTAAATTTTTACCTACGTGACTTTACCGAAAAAAATCTAAGAATCCTTGCAAGTCACGAAAGCTTCAAATCTAGAAATGACAATTATAACAGAAAATAATCACCCACATGGTAATTCACTGAATCGAGTGGCTGCAGGAATAAAGTGAGCCCATTACACAGTGCATACAAATTGAAAAGTAATTTAATTTTATGCATGTCATTTGTGGCATTATCGCAAGCTTGATAATTGCTACCAATTGATGAACTGCTGCACAAAGAGACCTCTGATCTATGCGGCGGTGAAAGGCAATGCAGCAATATCAATCGTCACGCTGTACTTCTATGCTCCCACCTGTGCTCCCCGCCTTCCAGTAGCAATAAGATGCAAACGTGCGCTCACAAACGGCAGGAAGGTACAACTCCCATCATGACCTGCATGCATGTCACGTGGCCACAGTGCATGCATGATGCTCTCAGCCTCGTCTCGGCCACCAACTCAACAGAGGTGACAGTGTGGCTTTATAATTATAATTTAATTCTAGATTTGAAGTTTTCGTGACTGCAAGGATTCATACTCTTTGGTTTTTTCGGTAAAGTCACGTAGGTAAAAAATGGAAATAAATTAAATCACGACGTTTTGGAGGCAACAAAAGCTTCCGTCTTCAGTAATTTGACACAGTAATTTTGCTGTGACGGTTCCACCTGAAGACGGAAGCTTGTGTTGCCTCCGAAACGTCGCGATTTAATTTTTTTTAATTTCTTACCTACGTGACTTTACCGAAAAAAACAAAGAGTCATTATAATTTAGATCACCAACTCCCGAGTTGAAATGTGGCCATCACGCAACGACTTGCGTGGCAAAGCACAACCAAATTACCCACACGCCACGCACAAACGGCGTGGGTATAGGCCCCTCATCCAGCAGTGGATTGACCGACACATCTGAGGTCGCAAACGGGTTTTGATTCCTTACCCGTACCCGGCCGCACCAGGGTCGCAAACGGGTATCTGTACCCGGCCGTACCCGTACCCTACACCCGTACCCAGCCAGGTACGGGTATCGGGTACCTGATTGCGACCTCTGGGATGAAGCCATGTTGCAGGCGCGGGTGGGTTGATTCTAGGAACTTGAATTGTGAGAAGAGACAAGACGTTGGGAAATGAGTGACAAACGGTGACTCACCAGTGACTCACGGGCCTACCCGTACCCGTACCCGGCCGCACCAGGGTCGCAAACGGGTAGCCGTACCCATACCCGGCCGGGTACGGGTAGCCGGGTATCGGGTAGGGTACGAGTATCGGGTACCCGGTTGCGACCTCTGCGACACGTGCGCAGCAGCCAGGCCCACGGCGAAGCCACCTGCCTGGAATCCGCGGCGAGCGCGAAGACGGCGCCGCCGTCGCACAGCACCAGCAGCCGCCCGCACTCCATCTCCGGCTGCACGTCCAGCACGGGGCGCGGGAAGCACAGGATGGCCTGCACGCACGCACGCATGCAAAGACAACGATCCCCCGTGTAGCCTTAACAGACTGTAGGGGCAAGTGCTGTTAGCGAGCACCTATGAAGGCCGGAACGGTACACGAGGGGGTGGGTGGCCAGCACCACGCCCATCCGCCTTTGTCTTCCGAGTGGCGATGTTTACACACTGCACCAGGTACTCATTTAAGGCTGAGTCGACCTAGGGGAGGCCCAGGACCGGTTCAGATAATCGTCACGGGTGTTGGCCGTGAGCGGGAATCAAACCCGGGTCGCCGTGTTCATAGCGCAGCGTGCTAACCGCTACACCACCGCTCACCACCATGCTGGGTGTGTTGGTGCACGCATGCACGCACGCACGCACACGCAGTGAAGGGAGTGATCAGCCGCTGGTGATGCAGCTCCTCCCAGCGGAGCCTTGCAGTAAATTCCTAAAACCCAGAGCGATGGCACCGAGGCTGTCCTCGCAGTGAACCCCGTCCGCGTGTGTCGAAACGCGCATCCCCTCCCGTACGGGAGGATGGCAACGACGCTCGTTATGTTGAACACGATCCACGCCGTCACCACATCGCGAAGCGTGAAGAGCCGCTGACGGGTGAAATCATCGCCACTGGGCCAGCGGATCCACGCTGAGCTGGCGGGTTGCATCGGGCACCGGGAGCGTCCCTGAACGGAGCAGCTCCACAAACCCCAGGGTGGCAAGGGAAGCCAAAGGGGGGGCACGGTGGGGGGGCAAGACCTTCATAACTTAGGCGAACTCGCAGTGAAAGTGCCAACGTTTGAAATGAACGACCGTAAATAATAACTAAACTTTGAGAAAATGTTGCCGATGTATGCAGCAAGGCGATGATTTAACACGCGCACGGAACGGAATGCACCCGTCACCGTTCCAACGTGGACGGAAAAGTCAGCGAGTCCGAGTGCGTCCCACGCTCCCTGATCCAGAGAGAGGTCAAGTGTTTAGAGCTAAATCGCAGTTCAAATTCGCTGAACTAAGTCCTACGGAAAGGTTAGGAGGCGCACTTCGTTATCATCCACATCTATAAACTGTCTGAAGTGTGTGTGCATTCTGAATTCCTGGAAGTGCCCAGGGGTAGAGGGTGACAGGGCGTGGGGTCTGGGCTTGCACAGTACTTGGTGTGTTGATGCTTGGTGCTCGATGTGTGTGTGTTGGTGCTGGGGGTGTGTGTGTGTTGGTGCTGGGTGTGTTGGTACGTTGGTGCAGGGGGTGTTGGTGCTGGGGGTGTTGGTGCTGGGTGTGTTGGTTCTGGGTGTGTTGGTGCTGGGTGTGTTGGTACTGGGTGTGTTGGTGTGTTGGTGCTGGGTGTGTTGGTGCTGGGTGTGTTGGTGCTGGGTGTGTTGGTGCTGGGTGTGTTGGTGCTGGGTGTGTTGGTGCTGGGTGTGTTGGTTCTGGGTGTGTTGGTTCTGGGTGTGTGGGTGCTGGGTGTGTGGGTGTTGGGTGTGTTGGTGCTGGGTGTGTGGGTGTTGGATGTGTTGGTGCTGGGTGTATTGGTGCTGAGTGTGTTGGTTCTGGGTGTGTTGGTGCTGGGTGTGTTGGTTCTGGGTGTTGGGTGCTGGGTGTGTGGGGTGCTGGGTGTGTGGGTG